ATTATGTCTGATGTATTTTTTCACTCAGATATAGTTATATCTGTTTATATCTGATCAAATATGACTAGATCTGATCATGTCTGATGAGTTTTTTAACTCAGATATAGTTATATCTGTTTATATCTGATCAAATATGACTAGATCTGATTATGTCTCCAATCCCATGTCTGATCAGATATAAATAGATCTGACCAGATATAATTAGATCTGACCAGATATAATTATATCTGGTCAGATCTAAACCGTTTTCCCCGGGAATTCACCGCTTTCTCAGTACCGGCTGTGTGTTCAACCACGTGTCAACCGGCTTCGCTTTATTATTCACGCAGTGCTTTATTTATCCGATTTTATTTAAACAATCCGCTAACTAACATATTAAATATAACTTGTATTTAGTGTAAATAAATTTCTAGTTCACATTGTTAATCATATTTCCGCATTTTAATTGAGATATCCAGACCACAACCTGATCCTGAGTTTTTCCGCATTTTCAGCATTTTACACCAAGCATGCTTTGTAAGTGTTCAGGAGTATGTCTGGGTATTCCAGGGCTACAGTCCTTGTTGATAATTGTTAGTTTATTATAATTATCTACTGAGCTACGTAAAAGTCTTAAAGTGACTGCCAGGCGGCAGCATATAAATCAAGCTGATGTATGCATCTCTCTCCGGAGTTATCTCACCTTACTGTGTAACCTATAGATAAATAAATCACATGTCTATTAATAATTAATCACCGCTTATTATTAACATCTACCTAAACTACCATAAATTAATAACAGGTTATGGGCCCAGGTGGTCAACAGTAATTGTTAGATTAAAAAGTTGTGTGAAAGAGAGAATAAAAATAACTATGTGAGGGATCCAAAGTTTTGAGGTTAACCTGCCATCGTGCGACGTGCGAACAACCGAAAAATGAATGTGACTCAAGAGACTATAATGAGAATCCAGAAGCTCCAAGGACCAGAAAATTGGGCGGTCTGGAAATTTCAAACCAAGATTGCGCTGATGACCAGAGAGATAGACATTGAGACTGCTCAGCGACAACCTACAGCACCAGCGGGTACAGGAAACAATGCACCTACTTCGGCACAGGTAAATGCTTATCTGGACAGGTTGAATAAATTTAAGAAGTTGGATGCCGTCGCTCAGTTCGTAATAACATCCAGCTTGGAGTCAGAGGCAGTGCTACATGTGATGAGCTGCGCAACTGCAAGACAAATGTGGGCTAGGCTCCATGAGGTGTACGAGAGCAAGACAAACACAAGCATTCATATGCTCAATAAACAATGGTACACACTAACAAAAAATGAGAACGACAGCATGACAATGTACATTGCCAAGGTTCAGGATCTTCTACACCGGCTAAAAGAAATGGGTGAGACCGTTCCAGATAAACAGTGTAACAGGATAAATTACCCGGTGTCGATAAGTTATCTGAAATCAATTATAGTTCGACGCAGCACTCGCGCGTCTCGATCTTCGGAACCTGTTGTAGCGAGTAAGAGGGGGTAGTTTGGGTTACTACAGGTGAGCCGGGCAGTGTAACAACAGAAGTGGTGTAATCGCCTGACTGAGTGTCACAGATAATCCAGAGAGACCAATCCCTGAAAAAATTACGAGACGAAGGAAGGCAACAACTACCAGGACTTTAACCTCAAGTAGGGAGTTCGATCATCATCTTATCAAGGTATCTGAAGGTACTCCGTGGGCGGGAAGTGGACCGCGGTTTGTACTCGGTTCACTTCACCTCGTCTAATTTATTTTATTATTTATTTATCGATTGTTTAATTGACAACTATTCAAGATTTATTTAATTTATAATTATTAATATTCGTTAGTCCTGACTGAGTGATTTTTAAGAGGATTTATACCCGAGCATCACTCAGTAGACCTTAAAGTAAAAATTCGTTTACTTTCGTGAGAATTGTTTTTATTCAATTAGAATTTACTCAGTAATTTATTAAATTAATCAACATCTGTAAGTGGTTCTATATTGTATTAATTATATTGGTCAATTTAGTCAGATAAAACCGTTGGTAAAATTTTTCATGAAATCCATTGTCACGAATTCCTAGTCAAGCGCCGGGTGAATTTTGTGTCGTAGATAATCCGGGATCCAAGGTCAAAACTAACGTACTAACGAATATTGACGTGCATTTTAAAAACGCAAATTTTTGTCAATTATTTATATTGAATATTTATTGTGGATTTACTGAATCAACCTTTATTATAATTATTACATTGCGAATTTATTTATTAATCTTAAGACGCGTTTACGATGATTTAATCGAAAGAATTTTATGGTAATTAATTTGATGTTGAGATATTTTAATATAAAATTATTTACTGAGATCGAAATAATTCTGCGTAATTAATTTATTGAATTGAACTTAAGTTCAGGATAAATAACTAGATAATTTAATTCGTCATTTTATTGAAAATTATTGTTAGATAATTATTAGCGTGGATATTAATTCCGAGAAATTATAGTTAAAATTATACGATGAAAATTATTAAGGGGGAACACCACTGTGACGATCGAAAAAAAGAGGTGATTTTCGGGAATTTTTTTGACAGGAAAAATAAAGTAATTTCGGGATCGGATTTTTTTTATTTTATTAAGGGTACATTACAGATTATTACCCTAAATTTTTATTAAAAAATATTTAATTATTACAAAGTTATTAACAATCTTGTAGAGCACTAGAAAAAATTTCCCCCTCCATGGTCGGTTCGATAACTCAAAAACGGATCTCTTAAAAATAAAAACCCAAATTTCTTTTTAATCAATAAGAATGTAGTTATCGTCGCACGTACGGAATTTAAAAAATTTTTTTAACAAATATAAATAATGCTATGAAGCGGGAAAGAATAGGAGTTACGGATAATTATTACGTGAAGCGTTCCAACATTCACGTAACAGGATAATTGGTAGGAAAGGATTGAGAAAGGATTATGGAGAGGAATTTCCTTAAAATAATAACCTGTAGTTAAATTTAGTTTTTTATAATACTTCAAGCCGAACAATGGTCCAGATATTTAATGTTGCCTATTTCAAGTCCATTATTACCCTATTAATTATCTTTACCTTTACTATTTAAGAAGAAAATTCTACCCAAAATTGAAGCATGAATTAATAAATTTAATCATAGTGTAATATTAGATGTTTTGTTCTAGAGGAGCTTCGAGCATAAAAAATAGTTAACCATATTAAAATAATTTTGCAACTGACATATCATATTCAGTTATATTTGTATAGTATATTTGCTTGAAATGTTATAGCGCGTGCGCTGTCAATAAATTTTCTCTTAGTCTTTCGGTCCTTCGAACCACCAACCAAATGCCCACTATCACTAGTTCACTTATATAGATTTAACCAGCCAGTATGACGCCGGGAATCGTAACGTCATGATGGATTCACTTCTGTATAATATGCCTTGTTTGTTTCTTTTAATTTGGAGTAAAAATAAAGTGAGTGAAGAATATACATATATCTGTTTATGAATGAAAATCTACATGATTATATCAAGAGATATTTTTCATGAATGTAGCTAAAATTATTAACGTCATATTTACCTCTTAAACACTCGTTTTATTGTATTTATATTTTATAATCAACTAATTGTGAAGGTTATAGTAATTATAAGTAGACATTGTTTTATATTAACTCAGGTTCGTGAATTGTGCTTACTTTTAACTTATAACTTATTTAAAAATCACTAAATATTTTAAGACATTCACAATTTTAATTTATAATTCATAATTGTTTTTTATATTATAAGGAAGAAATCGAATTTTTCATAAAGAAATTTAATAGATTCATATGTTAATTTATTCTATGCTTTTGCGAAAGAGTCACACCCCGTGTAAGCGATCGAGGTCCTAGTAGTAGGCCAAGGACGGAAAATTTGGTGCACGCGGTGATGCTAATTACTCCAATCTTTGTTTTTACCTTTGCAAGATCTTAATTTTATTTATAACACACATTTTCTCGGAAAAAAATCACAGTTTTGCCAATAGTAAATGTCAGACTGATCATTAAATTTTAAAATATAAATTTACTCTCCAAAATTTAAAAATGTCTATTGTTGACGTATTTAAAAATGAACTAGAGACAAAACTTTTATCTAGCTTTAGCTATACAACCACTAGTTCGTGAAACTTGGGGTAAATCATTCAGAATATAAATTACGACGAAGGAACAGTTAAGTATTATTAAGTATATTATAACATACTCTACATGTACGCTTTCATGATATTGACATTTATGTATTTGTTTTTCTATACATGTTCTTTATTTAATGATTCAAATGTTGCTTCTAAAAATCGATGTTAGGTAAACGTAGGATTTTTTTTCTTTTCAATAAAAAAAATTATTAGATAAAATATTTGTCAATTTAATTACGAACTAAGTTGTATTTCGTAAACGAACCAATAACATAATTATTCTTTTTTCGTTTTTGCTTTACCGGTACATTCCAAAACAAGTTTCCTATACCTCAATATCGAAATTGTTTGGCATGTATGTTTATTTCGACAGCTTTTTTGGTTTTATCGATTTTCTATAATTACATTTAAAAGGCTAGTTATAACTAGCCTTTTAAATGTAATTAAACATAATAACATGATTTTATAAAATCATAATTATTATTATGTTTGTTTTCAGCAGGTGAGGTTAATGCCTGAAGACGATTCTACACATCGTACGAAAGTGAATAAACAATAAAATATTTGGAGGAACTTATAAGTCACAGGGATATATCACAGCTGGAATAAAACTGATATTTTTCATATTATATGAATACGACAATTTAGGATTCAAAATTGTCAACAGCTCAAGAGAAACTGATAATAATAATAATAATATTATATAAAATATAAAAGTTATATAATTCAAGTTATACTAGGTCAGAGCAAATTGAGGGTAACTGAAAAAAAGGAATTGTAAAAAAAGAAATTTATTGACGCCAACGAATATGGGGAAAAAAAACAGTAAACTCAAGCAAGACACAATCGATCGTCTGACTACGGACACATATTGTAAGCACATCCCTTTAATTTAACCGTAATAATATACTTGAAAGAGAAATTTCCTGCATATAATATTACAATCCACACCGAAAAATTATATGTGTATATATATATATATATATAATATAAATACTATATAGTATAAATATAATATAAATAAATATAATTTTTTTATTTTTCATGCGTTAAGGATGACTTTGAGATCATGTCCAAAAAATAAAAAAAATTTGAAATTAATTTATTATTCAAGATTTCCACGTGATGCATTCAATTTTTAATACTTAAAATTTCAATACTCTGTATCTGCATCACTTTACCTTATTTGAAAGTTGCAAAAAACGAAAAAAAAATTTTTTTTTGAAATTCAAAAATCGATGTTTTTGGAAAAAAAACACCCTTTTAAAAATATCAGAATCTTTGAAGATGAGTACAATGTATTATATAAAAAAAATTGAGCTAAAATTTTAACTTCGATCGTCATTTTTAACGATTTTCAAAAATTCAAAATTTGACAAATTTGGCAATTTTGAAAATTTTTTTCCAAAATATTTTTTTTTTCAATAACCTAAGTGTCCCCTTTTAAACAAACAGAAGGTCATTCCCATATCTACAATAGCGTTCGAGATATTACAAAAACAAAATTGAAAAACTGAAAAAACTGAGCGGAATTTTGAATTTGCATATCTTTTGAAAAAAATTTTTTTATTGTTTTTTCTTTGGCAGAACTTCGTTTTATGATAAACGAAAACTTCTGATCAAAATTTGTCCAAATCGAAAGAGATCGATGCCAACTATTGGTCGATTTGACAAGGAATGACCCAATTGCCAACTATTTCTTTAAATTTCGAAATTTAGTCATTTTTAAATGGCTGTAACTAGTCTTTTTGTGGAGATAATCATACTTTGTCTTAGAATTTTTTAAAGCTCAAAGACTCTACTTTAAGAATATAAAATCATTTTTTGTAAAAAATTTCGTAAATTATGTGTAAATTCAATTTAAAACAAAAAAGAACTTTTCCCATGTTAATTAAATGGGAAACTAAAATAACAATAGCGACCCCTTAAAGTTGAGCTATAGGGCTCATCTTTGGTGAGGATTTTTTTTATATCAAATAGAAACATTTGAGAGGGTATGAGTTAAAAAAAAAATTAAAAAATTTTTTTGAATCACCCTAATATATATTAAAACGTGAGTATGTGCTGAGTATTTGTTTGATATATGCAAAAAAAAAATTGCAATCAACAGAAAATTCGATAGATAAATGTTTTCTTTAAAATTATAGATCGCCATTTGTAGTGAGGTTTCGATAGCAAAAATTTTTTTTTTCGTATTTAAAAGGATATATATTTAACATGAATGAACCCCATTAATAATGTAGGCAACTTACATATGTAATGGTATTTACGATGTCCACTTTTCGGCGAAAATTCTTGTAAAATTGATTCGTTCGAATATATAATTATGTTTATTTATATTCTGGCCTGTGTATTTTTCCAGCAGAACTAGAATAAAAATTTGAAGACGATTTAGTTTTCAGACCTGAAATCAAGCTTAACTCAAGCTCAAGAAGCTCGAAAAAATAAGTTTAGGTTTTCAAAATCGAAATTCTGATGAGATTGCACAATAGTTTATTTATCGTAGTAACACATTCATGAGCCCGAACTAGAAGTGGTTTTTATCTCGTTAAAATATAAAAAAAAATCTGGAAAACGGTTGACCCTGAAGGCCATCCCTGCAACTTCCCGCCAATTCCATACCTAAACGCTTGAAATTGCACAAGTTTGATGGAAGTTTAATAAAACAGTATTTTTTGAATTTTCAAACTGCAATAATTTCTAAATGAATGAATCGATTTTCACGTGGTTGGCAGTGTTCTACGTAGTTTTTCAGAATCTATGATATACTTTTGAACACAAACTGATCAAACCAAAAATCTTAGAGAAATTAAAAAAATTCACGTTTTCCGAATTTTTTCGACAATGATAACTCGAGAACCAATCAACCAATTTTCACGTTCTTGGTGGTGATCGACGTGATTTTTTGAGCTCTAATAATTATTTTACTTCATCAAAAACGATCCAAAAATAAATCTCGAAGTTATCTGAAAAAAACACTTTTTTCGAAATTTTTCGACAACGATAACTCACGAACCAATCAACCAATTTTGATGGGACTGGTGGCAATCGCCGTGGTTTTTAAGCTTAAGTGCTGATTAGTTTTTGGAATTGATCGGTGGAGCCGTTTAGAACACAGTAAAAAATTTTGCGTCATTGCATCAAAAAACTTAGTGTTAAAAATTTTTGTGTTAAATATTTAACACTTTTTTGTGTTGATTTAACATTTATTGTGTTAAATCAACACCAAAAAGTGTTAAATCAACACAAAAAAGTGTTAAA